CTCTCTTTCAACCATACCTAAGGAACCAACTTGAGACTTTCCACCACTGTGCTAAAATAAACATCATTTGACACTGGCATGACTGTGTCATCACCAATCTTCAAAACAAAATCTCATAATATCAATACGCTGTTAAGTAAACAGATGTCCTCATCCTTGCCGTACTTCCTCCAAATCCCATAGTCCATATGTTTACTAAGCTAGGCTGCTTAACTACTTAAGCATATATATAGACTGCTCTCTATTACAAGCATCTTGCTGTTCTCAACGTTTCAGTGGACTATAATCAAGCAATAATGAAATAAATAGCAAGGTGAGTCTATAGACTTCATGGTACAAGCAAAATTAAGAACCTTCTGTTTGACTTCTTTTTTTACCCCTTTTCTGGGAAAGCAATGCAAACTTTGATAAAAGGGTGGAATCCCAAGTTGGGTGCTCAAAACCCCTTTCTTTAAGTGTTACTCCTATACTTGGCCCCTTCCTATCCAATTTTGGTTTTTTGTAATCAAAAGTTCAAACAAAATACTTTTTTTTTCTGATAGATTTCTGTCCACACAACATGATATGATATTTGTTCGTACCCAAAATTTATTTGCTTCAAAATTTCCTTAAGAAATTTTTTATCTTCACCTAAGAGGATGCATGAAACCCAACTTACATACATCATGAATCAAAACCCATATTTCAAATACAACTAATTCTAAACCAAACAACATAACACACAAGGTTTCATTTTTCTTTCTTCATTCCCTCCATTTATTCTCAATACCCAACATAAATTCATGTAAATCAGAAAAAATAAATACATAAAGTTCAAAAAACCATGCCTGCCAGAGTATAATAGGATTGGAAGTCTTAGTTGAAGGCTCTTCATTCTCAACCGCCACAGGAGGAGGAACAACAAGTTGCGCCTTTGGGAACCTCACAGTGTCCGGTTTCTGAGTCTTACTTTCAAGTCCTTCATCACCAGCTACTGCCTTCGTCGGTTCATCTTCAACAGCCACGCCTGCTTTTGATTCTTGCTTCAAGAATGGAAATTGAAGCTTGAACTTGGGAAACAGTGAGAATAAGTTTTTGGGTCCTTTAGGATCTTCTTCTTTGCTTACAATCTCCGTGTTTTCTGCCATTTTTGAGAAAGAAGGGTGATTCTGAAAGTGGGGTGGGCGGGCTTGTAAACGGCGGAGGAAACAGAGTAGGAGATGTTCATGAGATATTGAAAATGCTTTTGTATGTTTCCATCCCTTACTCCAGAACGTCCCTCGTCTAATTAAAAATTTTAAAAAATAAACATTCTTTTTCTTTCTTGTTTTTTTTTTCTTTTCTTTTTTTTTGGATAAAACACATTGTAGTCTTATTATGAAAAGAATAAAATAAAAGCTTTTAATTATGAATTTTCTTTTAACTTTATCTTTTAGTTACAATGAGGGCCCAAGGCCCAGATATTTTTGGTCAAAAGGCTCAGATTTACTAGATGGAGTCCAGATTTTTGAACGAATGATACAATTTAGAAGATAAGATGAGTGAGGAAATATTACAA